GAGGTGCTTATCCAGTTCTCTCTTGAACACTGTGAGGGGTCGGCCAGTTATGCCCCTTATGTGTAGTGGAAGCGTGTTGAACAGTCTCGGGCCTCTGATGTTGATAGTTCTCTCTCAGAGTACCTGTTGCACCACACCCAGCCCTCCACCACTATGACAAGTATATAACAATATATTGGCCAACGAGGAGGCCTGGTCGATGACCGGGCCGCGGGGACGCTAAGCCCCGGAACAACTCCAATTTAACTCAAAGGTATACAAAGCACTCAAAAACAATACAGTAGAATGCACAAAGCAACAGAATGAATAATACAACAGTACATAAGCTTAATAAAAGCCACTTACAGTCGAAAAATTCAGTCGAGCCTTAAGGGTCAGTGTGCATCAATACAGTAGTTCAGGACCAACCATACGCCTCAACTAGCCTGGCCTCAACTTAGCCTGGCCTCAACTTAGCCTGGCCTCAACTTAGCCTGGCCTCAACTTAGCCTGGCCTCAACTTAGCCTGGCCTCAACTTAGCCTGGCCTCAACTTAGCCTGGCCTCAACTTAGCCTGGCCTCAACTTAGCCTGGGCACTCCATCCAAAAACAATTTACCTTCAGGCTAACTATTCCGAGGTGTTTTACCTCTTAGGGTAAAACACCACAGCAAACAGGTCTTCACGTAAGTCCCATTAAAAAGGTATCAGCATGTATCATGCCCAATGGGTCTGCACCTAAACCCCCCCCCATTCCAAAGAGGGTGTTTGCACCTAAACCCTCCCATTCCAAAGGGGGTGTCTGTACCTAAACCCCTCATTCCAAAGGGGAGGGTGTCTGCACCTAACCCCTCATTCCAAAGGGGAGGGTGTCTGCACCTAACCCCTCCCCCATTCCAAAAAAGTATGCACGTAAACACGGCCAAGTGGTCCTTTTTTATAAACTCCACTACCACTAACCTAATATACCGGTAAACTGTACACCGAGGTAAACCGGGTCCACAACCTACCAGGGGTCCACACGGCGCCCTGCACCCTGTTACCTCGGCTTTAAATGACGAGACAAATTATAATCATGGCGATTAAAAAATAATAATTCCAGATAAATAACGAAATGACAAAGGTTGGCCGTGACCCGAGGGGGGGGGGGTAACTTTCTTCTCATGGCTGCCATGGCGGAGGGAGGGGGGGGGGTAGTGGGGGAGAGAAAGGGGGGGAGGGGTGAAGAGGGCCAGGTCGTGCTGGAGACAAGTTGACCAAGGCGCCCCCAGGGTCACCGAAGGCAGAATGTTGCAAGTGGGGTGAGAGGTGGTGGTGAGGGGGGTTGAGAGGTGGGGGGAGTTTCACCTCACCTGGGAGGGGGGGGGTTCTCGTGTGTGTGGGGTTTTCAACCCAAGCAGCTGGGTTGAGGTAGACTGAGGAGGGGGGGTGGAAAGGTGGCACTGAACTTCCTACCAATGTTAGCCAAGGATCGATTCTTCACTATTAATGGAGGAGGGACTGTTTTAACGACGTCCTTGACTGCTGGTAAACCCTTGATCTTGTCAGGTGTCGTTTTAAGTAAACCCCCAGTTATCATGTCAATTACAAGCAGCCCAAGTGAACGTTGAGTACACCAAATGTCGAGGTGTGACGACACTTTGTAATGGGCATGACGGCCCCTTCACCCGGGGGACCTGTCACCCTTCACCCGGGGGACCTGCCACCCTTCACCCGGGGGACCTGCCACCCTTCACCCGGGGGACCTGCCACCCTTCACCCGGGGGACCTGTCACCCTTCACCAGGGGGACCTGCCACCCTTCACCCGGGGGACCTGCCACCCTTCACCCGGGGGACCTGCCACCCTTCACCCGGGGGACCTGCCACCCTTCACCCGGGGGACCTGCCACCCTTCACCCGGGGGACCTGCCACCCTTCACCCGGGGGACCTGCCACCCTTCACCCGGGGGACCTGCCACCCTTCACCCGGGGGACCTGTCACCCTTCACCCGGGGGACCTGCCACCCTTCACCCGGGGGACCTGCCACCCTTCACCCGGGGGACCTGCCACCCTTCACCCGGGGGACCTGCCACCCTTCACCCGGGGGACCTGCCACCCTTCACCCGGGGGACCTGCCACCCTTCACCCGGGGGACCTGCCACCCTTCACCCGGGGGACCTGCCACCCTCTGCACGGTACAAACAAGATCAGGCAGGCATGTGTGCAGCCCCTACAACACACCACAAACACCTGAGGACGCAACACCTTCACATCATACAAGTGTTTCACACAACTCCCCCCCCCCCCCAGCAATACATCAACGACAGATTATGTAAAACAGAAAAAAGTTGGGTTATAAATCTCAGGAAAGTAAATATATTCAGAAGTGTACCAACTTTGGCTTCTTCCATTATTCCCAGCTGCTCCGTATCTCGCCCACCAGCAAGAGACGAAAAATTCCTGCCATTCCCATTCCTCACTGGAACCGGCCTGGAATGGCAGCAGCATCCCTGAGCAATCCACAGGGCCGCCTCACTGATTCCCGGGAATGTGGCATAACCGGCCAGAATATACGGATAAACAAGGAGAGCCGGTCCGGTCGGGATCACACATGCCTGCTTCACACGCTGTCCTACCCACGAGAAAATATATTATATTATATATATATATATATATATATATATATATATATATATATATATATATATATATATATATATATATATATGTCGTACCTAGTAGCCAGAACGCACTTCTCAGCCTACTATGCAAGGCCCAATTTGCCTAATAAGCCAAGTTTTCCTGAATTAATATATTTTCTCAAATTTTTTCCATATGAAATGATAAAGCTACCCATTTCCTTATGTATGAGGTCAATTTTATTTTATTTGAGTTAATTTTAACGTAGATATATGACCGAACCTAACCAACCCTACCTAACCTAACCTATCTCTATAGGTTAAGTTGGGTTAGGTAGCCGAAAAAGTTAGGTTAGGTAGTCGAAAAATAATTAATTCATGAAAACTTGGCTTATTAGGCAAATCGGGCCTTGCATAGTAGGCTGAAAAGTGCGTTCTGGCTACTAGGTACGACATATTATTATATATATATATATATATATATATATATATATATATATATATATATATATATATATATATATATATATATATATATATATATATATATATATATATACACACACACTGAGGCGTGTGTGTGGGACTTTGGTCCCTGAGGCGGGACCAAAGAGCCAAAGCTCAACCCCCGCAAGCACAAATAGGTGAGTACACACACACACACACACACACACACACACACACACACACACACACACACACACACACACACACACACACACACACACGAGTTCTTACATTGTTGTAAAGCCACTACCACGCTAGCGTTTCGGGCAGGTCTTTAAATCCTAATTTCTCCCCGGAATACGACCCCGCCAAATCGTTTAGCAACCAGGTACCCATTCACTGCTGGGTGAACAGAGCCTACAGTTAAGGATTGGCGCCCAGTCACTCCTCCCCGGCCAGGCTACGAACCCAGGCCAAAACGCTTGCCAAGCGCCGGGCGAGTGTTGAACCCTGTGCCCACGAGGACGGGGGACTCCTTATTTTGTCTACAAAATTGCAAACTAACGTCACCTATTTGCCAAAGATAATAAATGAGAGAATACACGCAGGAAAAACAATATTTGTATAAATTGAAGCAGTTGATAAAGCACTATAGGGCCGGAGTCGTCGTCCCCTGTTGCCAGTTGGGGTGACATTTTGGACGGGCCACGTTGGCCGCGAACTTGTTGCTAGAGCCCGTCTCCACGTTACTCATGAACCAGCTCCAGGCAAGTGGAGGGGGGGAGGGGTGGAGTGATGGGGATGTACAGAGCCTGCGGGCTCACCAAGAGTCTGGTGGAACAGAGGCCAGTAATGACAGCCCGGTAGAAAACGTGATGATGGGGTACGTAAAATGCCATAAAACCTTCAATGGACACAAACTTTCTTCAGTGTTGCAAGTGCCGGGTATATTTAACAATTATTGATCAAACATTATCGCGCAATTAAAACAATGATAAATAAAAGTCAATGTAATTATAATTTTTTTTATAATTATTTAATGGCGGAGAGATGCGAGGCTGAGGAGCGCTCACAAGCCGGCGTGGAGCGAGAGTGAAACTTGCTGTGGCGTGTACAGTTTCAGCGGCGCCTCCCTCCCTCCCTCACACGGCGTCCTCGCAAGGCCTCTCCAATGGCACATACGTATTAAACAGAGTCCACAGACCGCTGCTCAATACACCTAAGAACATCCCTCTGAAGGAGAGAAGCTCATGAGCTACCACACACGACTGCGATCAGAGAAGCCGACTCATTCACTGTTACAATGAAGCAGTAACGTTAGAGGACCATTGGACCATACTGTTAGCTTCTCTATTTTCCCAGGCAATTTACCCCTGAGCGCGCTGGGTGGCTGGTGTGGAGAGTCCGGCATCTCTCGCCACATTCCTCCCTAACCCAACCAACTCGCTTCATTTTTCACTCCACCTCCTTCAACAACTAATTACCTCCCCGTCTGCCCGACTGGTTGACTCCCATCACGTTTAGTTAAGGCACTCTTGGTCAGTATTTTGTAAACTTAAGAGCAGACGGGGACTATAATCTGGAACAGAGGCACAGACTCCGCCACTCTCCCCACCAGAGCTTCCATTACACCAACAAAAACACAAAAAGCCTAGAATGAGTGTGTTCACCACTAGCGCAGCTCTCGCCCGGCGCATTTTCCACCGCCAACACAATACAAGAGAGGCAACAATGGAGCAGAGCTTCCCACGCCTCCACTGCCAACCAACACGGCTCCCTTGCAACTGACAAAGTCCTCCAGCACCACCACGTCTTCCCTCTGGACGTTATTATCTGCATCATTCCATTCTCTTTGTTACTGCTATATGTCCTAAATTCTCCTCCATCCTCCTCCTGCAGCCACAAACACGCACAATATGCACATCTGTTTCAACTTTACGGTAGAAATTCCTTACCTGAGTCAGGCGATAATGGTATGGTAGGAGCGTCAGAGTGGTAGTCTCATCTCGTGTCCCAGTACACTGTCTCGACCCTCTGCTCTCTCACCCTCCCACGCCACAACCACACTTTCCATGTAAACTGCTTTAATTTCTATAAGAAACTGCTTATCACCGAGGAAAACTGCGTTGTCTCCAGGAGAGGGGGCCACCACCACACTAGACACTCACACAAGGCCCCTCCACTAGTAGGGCAGTTTCATATCGCCACTGTTGTCTTTTTTTAGTGTTTCTTGAGCGACTAAGGCCGCCGAGGGGAACAATAAGCGAGTGCTGATCACGTCACGTCTCCTGTGCCTGGCAAGAGCAGCAGCATGACTGAGGCAGCAGGGAGCAGCAAGCAGGAGCGGACCACAGCACCGCAGCACCACCACGCGCCGCCGCTGCCAAGTACACTACTAAACTCAATGGTCTTGGTCACTGGCTTCCCCCACCGCCACCCCGCGTCGCCCCGCCTCTCTCATCCCCCCTTCCCCCTCTTTTCCACCCTCCATCACCCCCCACCATCACCCCGCCAGTCGACCCCCACACACCCTGCCGCCTCCCTCAGACTCTAACCTAACAACAGACAAATCACCCTGGTTCCTACTCTCCGCCGCTACTCTCCCCGACGCCATCCTCACCATAACTTTTAAACTTACAGTGCTAGTATTCTCGCGATTTTCGAGGCTGTTGCTGTAAACCGGAGAGTTTGATTCTAATGTGGAAAGGCGGGGAGGGCGGGCGGGCGGGAGTGTGGCTGGTGTGTGAGTGTGTGCGTGCTGGGCGAGGTTGCTTCCCGACCAACTGCCTCAATGTTGTGCTTATTTACGGCTGCTGCTGCTCGCTACTGGCCTCTCACTCTCATCCCAACGTGCTCCCCAGTGTATCCCTCCTCCTCCCTGTACGTCGCTGCTCGCTCATCATCTTCCCGGTACCTTTTACCTGGTATCTGATCAAGGCTAACCCGGTATCACCTCTAAAGGGGGGGGGGTGATACCTCGTTTGATAATTACTTCTGGCTTGGATAAATCTCCCGGTATCCCATCCTGGCTTGGGCAAACCTTCCGGTATCAATTTGGCAATGGACCTGACCTGACCTGATGACCAGGTGGTGGTGGTGTTTGATGATGATGGTTCACAGTGGTAGGTGTGGTGTGGTAGGCTCACACTCTTTCCACCCCGTGAGATGGGGATGAGTCCAGCACTCACAAACCCACACACCTCATGCCACCCCATCGCACCCCACGCCACGCCACCCCACTAAAACAATGGTAACAAAATACACACATTTAGCACCAGCGTAGCCCGCCCTCATAATGTGTACAGCACACACAGTAACAAAGCCAGCTTAGTGTACTAACATACAGGCCAGTTGTACCTTAACTTTAATTTTGTCAAGAATATAATTCATAAATAGTGTCATACTGTGCAATATATCACATTTTCTCCTCATATTATATATTATTAAACCCGGCGGCCTGCCACCTTTACCTTTCAGTATGGACCCTTATGTTGTATGGCTCCTAGGTCAGATGAACAATTTGACTCTTCCCTCGCTGACTCACTCTCCCCGTATCATAAAAGAAGAAGGTATCGCACTTCTCCCTGCCCAAGCTCTATAACCAGGCTCTCTCCTCCCGCTACTCTGCACCACACTACAGTCACGGCCCCAGTTTATACACCCGTGCGCCGCTCTCACTACACTCTCACTCTTAGTAAAGACACCCCGGCGAGGCGACACCCCCGCAAGGTACACTCCCTACACCTGGTTGATGCCTGGTTGATATCAGGTATCAGGTAAATACACCAAGGCATCACATCTTAAAACTCCACATCCTTCACAGAACTTAGCCTATAACACACTACACTCTACTCTTCCTATGATACACTGTGCACTGTAGACGCACTACAATCGTCTACACCCTCCACACGATACACAGTATTCACTATACACGCTGGTGGAGTGGAGGCAGGCGCGGTGTGGCGTTGAATAGTCCTCTCGTGTTAATTACAGCTATCTCTCCTCTGATCGACCCTCTCAACCTCCCTTATTCACACATGTCAGTCGCCTCCCTTCCACCCCCTCTTCACCCCTCTCTTCCACCCCCTCTTTTCCACCCCCTCTTCACCCCTACCTTCCACCTTCTCCATACCCAACCTCACAAAATCTCACAAACCCAGCGCCCCAATCATCATCTTGCTTGGAGGACTTCAACCCGCTACACCTAAAATGGAAGATTGTGGCAAATACAGTTATATCCGAGAGAATCCCAGAAAGTGGCCCAAATGAACAGTCACACACACATAACCTCTTAAGGATGCTCCGATGCGTGCCATATTAGCCTTAAACCAGCAAATAGCAGGATCAACTAGAAAAGAACACACACTAGACCATATTTTCACAAATATGGATGACCTGATTAGGAAGATAATGACGATAACTACTTGCTACTCAGATCACAACCTAATTGAAGTTCAGACGAGCCTGGACAACAGACCAGTGCAGCCAGTCCAAAATCCTTGGAGGAGGAGAATTCAGCAAATTCATTTTCAATAATAAATAGATTAACTGGGAATTAATAACCAAGACCTCACAGAAATAAGCTGGGAAGACAATCGACTTGAGAATGGTCCAGGGCGGACCGAAACGTCGTCGTCCCTTCAAATTCTAGTGTGTGGTCTGGTCAACAAGCTGGGAACAACAGCTAGAAACTGCAAACCTAAATCAATGCCTCGAAAAAATACTAAGTAACTCTAGAAATGTGCAAAAGCCACACATCTATAAAATACACATACAAATGAAATTACCGCGTAACATATTAGAAGTAGGACCCCTTGAATGTTTCAAGCGTAGGTTAGACATATATATGAATTAGACTGGGTGGATATAAATCGGAGCTGCATCGTATGGGCCAATAGACCTTCTGCAGTTACCTTCATTCTTATGTTCTTATGTACTCCCAAAGCCCGGCCAGGGGCCAGGCTTGACTAGAGAGTGCTTGGTCCACCAGGCTGTTGCTTGGAGCGGCCCGCAGGCCCACATACCCACCACAGCCCTGCTAGTCCAGCACTTCTTGAAGAGTTTTCTCTTGAAGATGTCCACGGTTGTTCCGGCAATATTTCTTATGCTCGCAGGAAGGATGTTGAAGAACCGCGGACCTCTGATGTTTATACAGTGTTCTCTGATTGTACCTATGGCACCCCTATGGCTGTGATTCATAGGTTACGCTGCGAGCTGCCGTATCCAACAGTTTAGTTGACCAGGAGGGAAGGACGTTGATCCTTGGAACCATCACAAGGTAACCACCCTCCCCTTCACCCCTCCCCTTCCCATCACCACATCTTCCTCGCCCACCTGTTCCATTCAGGTGCACAGGGTCCGCCTTGCGCACCTGCCCTTACTTGGGTTTGATGATGGGTTCAGGGTTATCACCCTCTAGCTAGGGTACCTGATCAACCAGGCTGTGCTCATAGGCCACACTGCGTGCAGCGGCGTCGAACAGTCCAACTGACCAGACGGACAACCAGGAGGCCAGGTCGTCAGTCATCACGCTGGAGAGTTAGCTGCGCCTTGACCCCCAGCAAGTATACTTTAGTCTTGGACATCATTCAGGACCAGAGTAAACTCAGTATACACCGAGAAGCGAGGATACACGTCGTGGTGTATGTCCCACTTGCAAATATAATACCACAGTCCCGCCAGACCTGCACCCAACAACACTGTCAGCTCGCGGAGGTGACTTGCAAGGTTCATACAACACGTGCACTATATAGTCAATTACTGTTATTTAAAACAGAAACAAATGAAGTCGACTGACTCCCTACTACACTGTGGCTACCTGGGCTGACGGACTGAGCAGTCAGGCTGTTGGTGGCCGCACCTAGTGATCTGACTCTCACCACAGACCAGTTAATCACCCTTTGAATTTCTTTCACCACTTTCTTCTTGAACACAATACAAGCCTGTAGGTAATTCGGGAGTGGCCGCTGTGTGTGTGGGGGGGGGGGGGTGGCCGCTGTGTTTGTGGGGGGGGGGGGTGGCCGCTGTGTGTGTGGGGGGAGTGGCCGCTGTGTGTGTGGGGGGGAGTGGCCGCTGTGTGTGTGGGGGGGAGTGGCCGCTGTGTGTGGGGGGGGGGAGTGGCCGCTGTGTGTGGGGGGGGGAGTGGCCGCTGTGTGTGTGGGGGGGAGTGGCCGCTGTGTGTGTGTGGGGGGAGTGGCCGCTGTGTGTGTGTGGGGGGAGTGGCCGCTGTGTGTGTGTGGGGGGAGTGGCCGCTGTGTGTGTGGGGGGGAGTGGCCGCTGTGTGTGTGGGGGGGAGTGGCCGCTGTGTGTGTGGGGGGGAGTGGCCGCTGTGTGTGTGGGGGGGAGTGGCCGCTGTGTGTGTGGGGGGAGTGGCCGCTGTGTGTGTGGGGGGAGTGGCCGCTGTGTGTGGGGGGAGTGGCCGCTGTGTGGGGGAGTGGCCGCTGTGTGGGGGGGGGGTGGCCGCTGTGTGGGGGTGTGGCCGCTGTGTGAGGGAGGTGGCCGCTGTGTGGGGGGGGGGGGGGTGGCCGCTGTGTGGGGGGGGGGGGGTTGGCCGCTGTGTGGGGGGGGGGTGGCCGCTGTGTGGGGGGGGGGTGGCCGCTGTGTGGGGGGGGGGGTTGGCCGCTGTGTGGGGGGGGGTGGCCGCTGTGTGGGGGTGGGGGGCGGGGTGGCCGCTGCGGGGGGGGGTGGCCGCTGTGTGGGGGCGGGGTGGCCGCTGTGTGGGGGCGGGGTGGCCGCTGTGTGGGGGGTGGCCGCTGTGTGGGGGTGGGGGTGGCCGCTGCCTGAGAACATAGCCTTGCGGCACTCAGCTTTTTGCTGTGCTCAAGACTGGATTTGTTTGGTTGGCAAAGCCTGTAATATCGTGAGAGTTATAGTGGGACTGTTGTGGCCGGGGTTCGCTGCCTCCCTTCTGGAGCACGACAATGTCTGCCGGGCTGGCTGTATCTGCTGCCTCGCGGTACCTAAGCCTTCTCTCACTGTGGACTTTCAAGCATCCAGGCTCCCCCCCCCTCCCCCCGCTCCCCCCGCTCCCCGGGGCTGAGTACATTGGCATGTTGTTGACAAATTTGTCCAAGTGTACTCACCTATTTGTGCTTGCGGGGGTTGAGCCTTGGCTCTTTGGTCCCGCCTCTCAACTGTGAATCAACTGGTGTACAGGTTCCTGAGCCTACTGGGCTCTATCATATCCACATTTGAAACTGTGTGTGTGTGGGGGGGAGGGGACAAGTCACATCGAACAAACGACGAAAAATTATTTGGTAATTATGATGTCTGAAGACCTGACATTTAGTGAACATAACCGAGCAAATATAGCGGCGGCGGCGGCCAGGAAAATGATAGGGTGGCTTATGAGAACGTTCAAATCCAGAGATCCCACAGCAATGTTAGTACTAATTAAATCACTGGTG